TTATTTCAAAGATATCACTCTCCATTTTCTGGTGTAAGTGGGAGGTGGCTGAGTTGGATTCTATTTACCTACTTGATCTGACATTTAGTCTAAGTGGTGACTAAAGGGAAGAACGTGGAGGACAATCAGATATCCTATCTCTTGTCCATTGGCTTGTGTAGGAAATGGGGTGAAGTAAGATAACACAAGAGGAGAAAACAAGTTGAAGAATTGTAAGTGGAAGAAGCTGGTATTCCAAGTTGAGTTAGAGCTGTAGTTTTTTTTAGTTGTGTGTTCAGAAAAACTAAGGGGAGAGCAAGAGAGTTCTCTAAGTGTATCAAGGTGTTGAGCAAGGGTGTGAGTTCACATCCCTATGCAAACTTGCATGCATTGAATACAAGAATAATACAATATTGCACTTCATCCATGTAAATGTCTCTCTGTATGTACTTGCACTGTATTTTCAGACATTTCTATAACAAAAACAAACTGCAAATTTTTTGTAATCTTCACTCTCTCTCTCTCTCTCTCTCTCTCTCTCTCTCTCTCTGTTTAACTGGTCAAATTATTAGTGTAATGCCAATGCTCTATTATCCATTCTAATATATGCATCAAAATGTTAATGTGTGCAGATGTATCGGACAGTGAAAACCACCGATAAAGCAGCGCCCTCTTCAGGTTAATATAATAATGCCCTCCACTATTTTTTTCCAGTTTTTTTAATTTTCTGATTTATTTGAAATCCTAGTTAGAGATGAAAAATGAGCAACAAAGCATTATGGTTAGGTGTTAATTTGTTAATTAATAAAATTTTAGTTTATTTTACTGTACAGGACAATCTGATGTGTATGAAAATGCTTCATCTGGGGGGACACCACTGAAGACATAATGCTTGACCTTCAGAACCCAAGAAGGTCGTCTTGTGATCAGCTCTCACCAGCTCAGCAGCAGCAGGGATCAAGATCCACTCCTCAGGTTCAAGATAATAAAGAATACTACGGCCTCTGGAGCATATATTACGTATCTACTATTAATATCATGAAAATGGAATTAAATTATGTGCCTTCTTAGTTAGAGTACTGGCCCAAGACCATACTGGGGTTTAAATTATGTGCCTTCTTAGTTATAATTTAGCATGATAATAGAGTTAAATTTGATATATTAAAAAAAAATAAAAAAATAAATTAGATTTGCAAGTAGGTTACTGAGGCCTGGGTTCAAACCCCAGTATGGTCTTGGGCCAGTACTCTAACTAAGAAGGCACATAATTTAATTCCATTTTCATGATATTAATAGTAGATACGTAATATATGCTCCAGAGGCCGTAGTATTCTTTATTATCTTGAACCTGAGGAGTGGATCTTGATCCCTGCTGCTGCTGAGCTGGTGAGAGCTGATCACAAGACGACCTTCTTGGGTTCTGAAGGTCAAGCATTATGTCTTCAGTGGTGTCCCCCCAGATGAAGCATTTTCATACACATCAGATTGTCCTGTACAGTAAAATAAACTAAAATTTTATTAATTAACAAATTAACACCTAACCATAATGCTTTGTTGCTCATTTTTCATCTCTAACTAGGATTTCAAATAAATCAGAAAATTAAAAAAACTGGAAAAAAATAGTGGAGGGCATTATTATATTAACCTGAAGAGGGCGCTGCTTTATCGGTGGTTTTCACTGTCCGATACATCTGCACACATTAACATTTTGATGCATATATTAGAATGGATAATAGAGCATTGGCATTACACTAATAATTTGACCAGTTAAACACAGAGAGAGAGAGAGAGAGAGAGTGAAGATTACAAAAAATTTGCAGTTTGTTTTTGTTATAGAAATGTCTGAAAATACAGTGCAAGTACATACAGAGAGACATTTACATGGATGAAGTGCAATATTGTATTATTCTTGTATTCAATGCATGCAAGTTTGCATAGGGATGTGAACATGGATGCATCATGCCATGCATATATAATGCATATGCTTGCGGTTAAGTCACCAAGCTTCTCCATCTGAAGGGGTTTCCGTACAAACACAACTTCACCTCTAAATTCTGAAATCTAAAGGTCCAAAGTAAAAACACATAAAACCTCATGTTTGTGTTGTTTAACCTTAAACTAAACTTAATTTGTAGCATTGGATCTATGAATAAAATAAGTAGAACGTTCCATGCACCATAACATTCCAAATCTGCAAAAAGTTTTAAATATGGTTCTAGTTCCACAATACAGTAGAAAGATGAGTACTAAGATTATGAACCCATGTCTGTATGTATGTGCGCATGTAGAAATTTTTTTCCGCAAGTACATATACTTACATTAACAGTTTGCATTTGATGCAAATCCGCAAGAACTTTTTGCCTCGACTGCCAAGGAAGACCAAAAAGATTTTAGTGAATAATTAAACGAGAATAGGACATTTGTATAGATTCATCAAGAGCAACATTAAGGCATAGACAATTAAATCCAGAAAACAGAAGAACAATGCACAGACAAATACTACAAATTCAGGAGGCATCCACACTTTTATGTAGTTGACCCAAAAAAAATACATAGCACAAACAGAGGAACATTTGAAAAGTGAATTGTGAATACCAACTGATTTCTTGCCCAACAGTCATAATAATGAGTGTATCTCTCCAGAGAATGCTTTGCCATTTCTCTTCTTCTCTCAGTTTCATCATACTACAAACCACAATACAAACTCTTATAAACAGAAGAAAAAGAAAACTAAGCTTCCGAAAGGCAAAGAAGAAGAACAAATTCTCAGAATGAGCAAAAAGAAACTGTAAAATCCTTACAACTCCCTTTTTATTAGCTGCTTCATAACGGTTACAAGCATGGAAACCGCCTGTCCTCTCACCATGATCTGACCATGCACCAAGGCTAGCCTGCAAGATACATATAATTCATTTAGAACCAGATATAACTTAACAATATAAGAGCATAAGCAATAGAAAAGTTTCCTCAAACAATATTTCTATTGTCAATGTGAATGATACAATGCTATTATTCATTAATCAGATATGTTTTCAAAAACTATCAATTTCCATGAAGGGAAAAAAAAAAGCAAGCAGAAAGCATACCAGCAAAATTCAAATTTGCAAGGTGGTGTGCTCGTCATGGCACCCTTGGTTTTTTCAATAGGTCGCTTACACTTTGGACATGGCTTGGAATTGGCTACTATCCTGAGTGTCATCAACGAAAGTTACCACAGAACAACAGAAGATGATATATCGCTAATTGATGCTCTAATGTAGCCTACCACAAGAACAAAAGAATTATATCTGGAAAATCATAAAGCATGGCAATGGAAAGAAAGATAAAACATCTAGCAACAGATCATGGCAAGAAACAGATTATCATGGGATTAAAATACTATGGGTGTTCAGAAAATGGTGGAAAGAATGGCGAAAAAGTAGTTGTAAAAAATAGTTTGTTTATACAAAATGATTGGTGTTACATTTTGCGGAGAGGGGAAGGGGGATCAAGGGAAATTCTCTACAACTAAAGACCTAAAGACAGAACGTTAAAGAGACTTGCAATTCCAAGGTCACATTCTTCATATTCAAAACAAGAGCTTAAGATGCAAGTTTCTTGTATCTGAGTCAGAAACTAGGTAAAATACAACCCATTTACTTTGGCAATAAAAAGAAATAAGGTAGGAAATTTTGACAGAAATTAAAGAATTGTATTATAATCTTTTGGTGTAAAAAATGTTGTACATACAAAATGAATACTGATCAGCCAGTTAGTCACTTGACTGTTCACCAACTCCAAAAAATCAGAATTTACAAAACTAACTACATGTGTACATAAGTGGGAAGAATAGGACTATGAATGAGACGAGCACTGTAGACACGAGGTGCTGCAACAGGAAAGCAAGGGCGACGGAGGATCACAGGCACGGGCTGCCAATAACGCTGAGGAGAAGGAAAATAAGAAACAGTGAATTCAAAGAACAAATGTTGGCTGAAAATTCTCATGCGACAATCATGAATGGCCAGGGATTTAAGAAATCTTCTCCATCATAGAGCCACAACCTTTCTCGAACGAAATATACACAAAAGGAATGGCTAAAAGAAATGGCACAATTTTATACGCCTGTGGAATATTTCTAAAGCCATTGATTTAAGCAATACACACTAGTTTTTACATTTTTCTTCCAAAGCCTACAGTTTTAAGTTTGCACCTAAATGCACAAGAATTTATCTCACAAAAACTCTTTGGCCTGTAACAATCCGGGATAGATAACCGACGTTATTTGTTTCAAGGACTTCACAGATGATTTGAGGAAAGCATGTCTATCCGTCGCTACAAAATATATCTAGGAGAAAGCATGACGTTTACCTGTTGTTAAAAGTTCTTTGAAAAATCCTCCTAACGCCCTAACACAGGTCTTATGCCGCATATTTGTAGAACACAAAGTTCCAAGTGCAAGGCCATCTCCATTATTTGTAGCAATAAACAACAGATACTCTGCACTTCTATTTGAATCACATTTGATCTTTAATCCCCACACAGCTCTGTAGCAATGGTAATTGCTTGATCCTAAATCAGAGATAACATATCAACCTCAAAAAAGAAAGTCACCTCGACACTTAATTGTAAGTATTTTGAAGACCAGAAACTTTTTGCATAATGAAACAAATCAAAGCCACACCTTGGGACATCTCAAGATCTTTCAAGATTAGCCAAAAAAAACAACTAATTAAAGAATAAAAATTGTCATGTTCCCTGTAAGCCATGTAAGATTTCAGGCATTGGAAGCTCAGGAAAATGGTCAAGATCAACAAACCCCACCTCCTCTGCCCTTCTAGCAGCACCCTCAGCTTGTAAACAGAGGAACTTCAAAAGAAGAAAAGTAATTCTGTAGATCTGAAGGACAATAGTGTCGGATAAGTATGACTAAGATACACTATTTTCAGTTGATTGAGTTTTAATAGCCAGCGCAGTTGTGGTAGAAACGGCAGAGAATTTTGGTTTTGACGCACAACTGAATGGTGAAAGAGCAAACCATCAGCTTCTACTGTCGACAAATGATGGTTTCTTGCAGCCATTGAATTCCTCTTTAAGGATAGGAGGACATACAAGAGGAGCATTAAGACTCGAAGATCCTCCAAGGTGTTGAGTTCCCCGTCTGATAAAGGCCTAAAGATGGATACTTTTCTCTCTCAGCGGGGAGTCCATTTCTTTCATGGCCTTAACCCATGAATTCCAATGTTTTGCTGGCATGCACATCAGAATGAGAGTGTGCTCAGTTTCTTTAAAGATCAGTAAAAGAAGTTTCTCTGCTGAGCCTGAGGTCTTTTCTTGTCATGACCATCAGATGGGAAGCCTGGAGCACTCAGATAGTAAGAAATCATATAGGCTTTCTCTGAAAAGAAGTGAGGTATTACGTTCTCCACAACATCAGAACAAGCAGAACTGTCTCGTAAAGACTGAACCATATCTGTGATGACTGCCAAACCAAGTCCCCAAATTTGCTGAGGCTTCTCAATTTTTTTCAGTTGAGTTGGGATTTCTCTTATTAATACAAACATAAGAAGACCTACCGTCCAAGTAGCAAACAAGAGTCTCAGAGACGAGAGAAATCCATAATTAATAAGCATTTCCGCACCATGCCTCACACGGGCAACAGTAAAAAAGAACTTCATTATAATGGGCACAGATTCAAGAGAGTTCTTATCTTGAAGCTTCAGAATAACATGCCGAAGCTGGAGGTGATTTTGTATAATGAGGAACCAAGTGTTGGGACTTAAGAATTTCTCAGTATCAAGTCCATTGTATTTACGGAGAGGGTGCCATGCTCAGCAGTAGCAATACAGAGAGAATAGGTAGTAGACCAAGACTCAAATTAGATATTTTAGCCAGGTCTCAACAGATATCATATCTCTTGCCCCAACCAAATGTGACTTATGAGAACTAAACTCCACTGCCGAGAGAAGCAACATAAGCAAGAGCTGCTAGAACCTGATGTTTTTAATACAAGAATGCAAACAGACAAAGACAGGCTTTTATGTGCATACATCATAAGATAGAGAAGCAACTCTGCTTAGATCATGTGATTTCTTCCAACACAATATTGGGGCCTTCACTATATGTTAAAACCTCAACAACTCAGTTTTT